GCGAGCAGGAGTTGTTTTTTTGGGCCCAGGGGTTTGTTAGGTGTGTGTGTGTGTGTTGTTTGTTTGTTTGTTTGTTTGTTTGTTTGATTGATTGATTGATTGATTGATTGATTGATTGATTTGTATTTTATTTGATTGATTGATTGACTGATGGATTGATTGATTGATTGGTTGGTTGGTTGGTTGTTTGTTTGGTTGTTTGTTTGTTTGTTTCATTGTTTCTTTGTGTGTGTGTGAGAGTGTGTGTGTGTGTGTGTGTGTGCGCGGAGTGGCAGAATACCCTGCCACCACAATTGCTTATGATTTCAACCGCAGGGGGTGCCAGGGGCAGAGCAAGGCTGGCACCAACGAAGACCTTTGCTCTTGCCTGTGATATCAGTCTCGGACGCGAGATTGACGTACCTGCACCAGTGATTCAAAGTCCTTTTGGCCCGTTGTTTCTCTCGCTGTGTGTGCTTCATGTTGAACCTTGTAACGTTTTCGACACTAGAGGGAAGCCGAGTGCATCGCGAGCCGAAACTCATCGTACTCGAGACTCATCAGTTGTACTCGAGACTCATCAGTTGTACTCGAGACTCATCAGTTGTACTCGAAAGATTAGCACCCTCCCTTGGGAGTTGAAGTGTGACTACCCCAGTTTGGGGGAACCCATCGTGTGACCCCGGGCCGGTTCGCCGGAAAATTTGACCTCAACGTTCATATCATAGTCCAGCGGAATTTCACGTTTAAGCAGGAACGAGGTTTCACTAAAGGGAAGACAGCCACCAGATCATAGTGACGTCTCACGGGCGCCTGGGCGCTGCTTGCTGATCTTTCATGCTTTTCCTCGTGTTGATTTGTGCTTGCCATGATCTTGCGTTGTCATGGAATTGATGCTTGTCGGTCTTAGTCTTTCTCAAGGTTGATTTGTGCCATCACCTGGGTTCGCTGAGTCGTCATGTCTCGACGAGATGATCGTGACCGATCCAGAACTCGGCGCAGACGGGATAGGAGCTCATCTTCCCCTCCTCGTAAAGCGCGCAGACGTGATCACGACGACACCTTGGTCTCGGACGGCATGGATTGGAACAACCTGGTCTCCTGGCAACACAATCCGAGCTACAACGCACCCAATGCCTTTCCAATGACGCAGAGCAACTACCAGCCGAATCCCTCCTCGTCGCAACTCTATCAGCATCCTCCGGTCAACTACATGATGCCGTTCCCTCCTGAACCTACACCGGCGAAGACCGTGAAGCCCATGATGCCACCTCCTGGCCATGCACCAGTTCATCCTTCCCAAACAACGACATCGCCTGGATACCCAGCCACGCTGCCAGTGCAGCCTCAGAAAGCATGGCGTACTCCACCGGAAGAGTGGCAACCTGGTGACGGCATGTTGGACATCAACCAGCTCTACTCCTTCAGCCTGCCCATGACGGTTGCCAACACCCCACACAATACGCAACGTGATATGTCGGGCATGGACATCCGGGATGTTCGCCTGGTTCAGGTCATTCACGGTGGCATCTCTAACTGGCTATTGAGACCATTTGCTCACGGGAGATTCGTGACGTGGGCGGGATTTCGTACCCGCGCCGAGGCCTGCTTTGGAGTACCTGTTCGAAGTTGCTCCGTCGATCTCAACCACTCAACCTGCTTACCTTGGAAAAGGACTTAGCCACTTCGCTGGGACTCAACATTGACGACTTCAATCAGCGGATCAAGGTTCACGATCACTTGGGCAATCTGGTACTTCAGTTTCTTCAGCAACATCATAAGACTCTTACACCCCCTGCTCAAGAAGATGAGATGCTCAAGAAGTACAACAATCTCCAACGAGCTCACGAGTTGCTCCAGGCACAGTACTCGGCGTCACAGCGAACGTCGCCTCCTTCTACGTTGCCCTCTCAGAAAGATGATGCAGAGCTGGTCACACCGCCTCCGGTCAATCACTCACAGTCTTCGACGCCTACCAGCTCGCTACCCACGGTAAGTGCGGGGGCCCTTGACGGCAGGTCATTTGATGTTCCATCTCAGCAGCAGCCTCGGATCATACAATCTCTTCACGGACTGTCTTCCCCGCCTTCCAAGCAAGCAACACCTCAGTTGCTCACCATGCGCAGCACGCCGGAAGACATCATCAAGCACTACACCTGGACCAGTGATCAGTCACGATTATACCTCAAGCAGGCTCCTACTACTACTACCGTGCCATCGCTGGCCAAGTGGGCTAACCACCCGTCCCGTCTCAACGGCAACATGTCTTTGGAACCCATGGCGGCCCAGCTCTTGCAGGCGCGTCAACGTTTGCCAAAAGGTGATGCACCTACTTTTGCTTCAATGGCCTCTGTGTGGGGACTGGAGCCAGGCTACACCACCAAGCTCTCGGACAAAGCGCTGTGCCTCCTCGTCGTGGCGGCCCGACTACTCACCGGGTAAAATGTTTCTGCCTTTCGAGTATTAGCCCGGAGTGGCGACTGTGCGGCATTGTGATGCGCGGTTGAAAACTTGTCTGCGCTTAACTTGGGGCTTGGCATGCCTTGTGAGTTGCTTGTCTTGTCTTGTGAGTTGCTTGTCACTTGTTGACTCTTGAATGCATGTCGCTGCCACCTTGTAGCTGCACTTGGTTAGACATTCATCATGTGGACTGAGCTTCAGCACAGCGGGATATTTGAGGACGTTGCGCAATGGCACTCCTTGGCTACTTTTCTGGACACATTAATGTTTTTCTCCGCGTGTTGGCGGTACTGCTTCCCTGGACTTCAACTACCAACGGTACCTCCGGATGAGTATGAATCGATTCAGCATTTACCTCAGTTGGACCTCATCCTTGAAGTGCTCACCCTGGTTCGGATTGCACTTCAAATTCCGATGCAATCCATGTCACGTACTCGTCATACCGTTGCCAACAGGTATGAGCTCCACAGATGTCGGATCACTTCGTATCTGCTGACTTGCTTCTTACAGCGACTAATTTCACAGAACCATGGGTACATACCACCGTTCTTTGAGGTCCTTCACTTCTACAAGGCGTCATTGCTGTGTGAAGTCATGCGCTCCACCTTCGCTGATATGAAAGACCTCAAATCCGTTCAACAGCCTTGCGTCTACCTCAGGCTCTCACCGTGGCATAGTCCATACTACATTGGTGCTACTGAGCAGGATGTTCTTCGCAGAGAACACTCCCGTTGCCGCAAATGTCTACAACTTCTGCGGAGGCAACATGCCTTCTTTGAACCTGCGCTTCACTCTTGGAAGCGATCCAACAACTACTGGCTTTTCTGTGCGATTCCAGTTGAGATCAAACTTCCTTCTTCCTCGGTTTGGATCCAGGCAAGCAAATGGCAGTACATGCTACGTCCGCATTTAAATGCACCCTGGGTACACAGACTTCTTCGGAAGATTGGTTTCCGTGAACATCTGGTTGACTTTCGTCGTCATTCGTTATCCTCGCCTACGTCACTATCTATTCACAAGCGGTTTCAGCGACGACTTCATCCTGATCTACATCGTCAACTGCGGCCAGAGATGTTGGATGACATCCAAGCACACTATTCTACTCTGTATCGGTTGGGATCCAACACTGGTGCGTCGTTTCAAACCATGCGCGGCCTTTTATCGGCGGCCTTTCCATCCACCCAAATCTACTATTTCCTGCGACTTTCCACCTTTGTCAACGAACCTTTTCGCTCCAAGGCTCAGAAGCTCTTTGCCCAGGTCTTGCGTAAGCGACAACTCCAGGTACCAACTACCATGACACAACTACTTCTTCCACCTCTACATGTTCGAGACTGGAAAGCTCAGCTTGGAACATGGTTGCAGCGTTGGGTGGCATCTCACCGTGACCTCTTTCCTTCCTTATTTCTTCCGAAGATCCGGGTTGTGGAAACTCGTAGTGCCACCTTGGGAGACCGGATCTACAACTACCGCAAGTGGCAGCAAAAATGGACTCCGGATACGTCGTTCCCGTGTCGCTGCATTGACATGGACGACCGCACCACTTCTCGCGCACATTCCCATGCGGTGATTTTGGATGAGTTTTCACGCATCAACGCTGATATTGACCCTGGCAGCATCCATGAAGGATCAGTATTTTGGTGCGTTATGCATGGGGACTTCGACTTCATGCAGATTTGCCCAGGGCTCGCGAGACCAAGCATTTCCTTCTTCTGCACATGGGCAGCACCCCTCCTCACGGTCTTCGGCGCCCTTATCTTTGAGCCCACCAAGGTCACCTTTCCAGACGTCCCTGGTCAGCTTTCAGTTCAGGAGCTAGTACAGCAGCTTTGGAATGCACTATCGCGTGAGGAGCCCACGGAATACATACAGCTGGTATCACAGCACCTCTCCGGTTTCTTCACATCCATACCCACTGAACGTTTTCATCAAGCTCTGCAGGTCTTACTTCACCGCTATGATCAGGTGGTCGGTCTACGCAACACATCACATTGGTCGGTCTATGAGGTGAAGTCGGATCATCGCGACGCATGTTCAAAGGCAAGTGGCGCCGTCAAACCAAGGTTCCTCGGACATTTCGTGAGGAGGACCTTCAGTGTCTTCTTGACTTCGTCATTGACAACAGTCACTTCGAGATCAATGGCTACTTGCTCCGGCAGGAACGCGGCGTGGCCATGGGATCACCAGCTGCTCCTCCTCTTTGCAATCTTGTTGCTACAGTTGAGGCACCAAACCATGAACTCTCTCAGGTTTCGAATGCCAGACTTTGGTGTGATCTGGCACGAGCGCTATGTTGACAATCGCTTCATACTCCTGCGGGATTCAGCACCGTCAACTGCTGTCCTCAGGAACTTTCTATCCTTGGAATTTTATCGCCCTCCAGTACTGCTTGAGACCCAAAATGATGCCAAAGTGCTTGGATACATGTGTGATTCATCTTCCAGGACTATCACACCACAACTACCCGATCATCCTTCTCAGATCAAAGGCGTCCGAAGTGCCCATGATCAGATGTTTATTTACTCCTCGTGGTCATCTCGATCGTGGCTCATTGTGCGTGG